GGATCCTTAACATCGATTTCAAACCCATCTTGTATTCCCTCAGGCTCAGGATCTGCCTTTCTATGCTTGCCCTTCTTCCCTTTATTTTTCTCGGCTTTGACAATTTGCTTCATGTCGAAGTGGTGGAGCTTTTTGCCATCGGCATCGGCATCGGCATCGGCGTCTTCGTCTGCCATTAGAAGTTCTAGTTCCGCGCGTTTAGATGCGTTTTCGGCGGCTTCGGCAGCCTTTGCTTCCCGGTCTTTGCGCTTCTTTTCCTTCTTTTCGGCAGATTTTGAGGCGGGTGCGTCGGCAAAGAAGGGGTCGTCGAAGCCGAGGTCTGTGGTTATGTCTTCGGCTTCTGCTTCCTTTTCCTTATCCGCCTTCTTGTTTTCGGGCTTGTCGCCCTCATCATTACCTTCTCGTATGGCTTTCATCTTTTCCTTCCGGCGTTGCCTTCGCTCTTTCTCTTTTCGGGCGTATTTGGCTATTGTCGTTTCTTCTTCTTCATCTTCCTCAATGACTTTTCGGTCCTTGGCCTTTTCGCTGAGTCCTGATGTAAACGTGACTTCCATGTCGCCTGCTGGCTCGGATTTGTCCTTCTTGCCGAAACCGGTAGCAGATAGTAGAGCTCGGTATTTATCCTTTGCTGCTTCACGAGCTTCAGATTCAGATTCGCTGTCACTGGAGGCTAGATAGTCCTTTAGGTCCATGTCTTCTATATCCCGCTGGGAGAAGGCACGTTTAGTAGCAAGTTTTCGCTGTTGATCATCTTCATCCCAGGTAAGTCTGACTTTAGAGTGTTGGAGTGCCTGGAAATATAGGTGTTAGTAGTTGTTCATGACACCACGATATCAAAGACATACGTCTGTGGAAAAGTCATTTGGCTTGTAGTTTGCCGGAACCTCGATACACCTATCTCGAGGCTTATCGTCTTCGAAGGATGTCTCGTCTGGGATAAATCGGAGGTCAAAGAAATTTGCCGTAGCTTCATATTCTGCACCATCGCACTGCTCGTAAATATGTTTCGCAGTCTCCGGAGAATCGCATTCTACTACTGCATAGAAATATCTATCACCCCCGGGATTAGCATTTTTTATAACCTCCATAATTAAAACGATATCATTAGAAGAACAAACCTCAATCTCTCCAATTGATAATTTCTCAGCTTGCCACTATCAAACTCCTCGCCCTTATCCTCTTTAATAATAGTCTTCTCATTGACCTCCTCGTCTATGTCACTATCCTCATCATCACTACCAATAACCCTGGCCTTCCCCTTTGGTTTGAAAATCTCCGTAGGAGGCCCCTCCATCTCCTCCCTCTCCATACGCTCTTTACCAAACTCGCTCGGATAAACCGTAACACTGGCAATCCTTCCACCACCGGTAACAAAGCTCGAGAAAGTCTTTAAAAGGTCTACCGCCTGAACATTATCCCAGTCCAGATTCACCGCGGCAAACCTCCTACTAACTTCTCCCATGGGAACCTCCTTCTGAATTTCCAGTTCAGCTCTGGCCGCTTCCTCTTCTGCCTCTCCGACCCCCTCCTCTTCCTCATCACTCGATTCCTCAGAAGTGGAAATTACACCTTCGCCTCTTGCTGGGTCGTATACTCGCGCTCCCCCCTCTTCCTCATCTTCATCTTCTTCCTCTTCGGAGATGTGGTAATACCGTTTAATTTCCTCCCCAGCATCTTTTCCAATCTTGCGACCGTACCTGTCTACACTCGCTTTCGCCGAAAATGACTCATCCTTGTACATGCGCTCGAAGCGCTTGTCGACCTTGAGTTTTGCATCTTTGCGACGGGGGAGGGCGAAGCGGGGGTCGTTGTGGACAGAGATGAATCGCTCGTCATCTATGGGTAGTTTGGTTATAGAAATTAGCTTTTAAGAACGATCCACCTTTGAAAGCTGAGAAAAAGAGCTAGGAGGAAAACAAACTTGTCACAGGAACCTTCGGCTCATCAGAGGTCTTCTTCCGATGTTTATCTTTCGCCATTTTTATTTTATTTTGGAGAGGTCAATTGGCGATAGTCGTAATTGCGAGAGTACTTTTGTAGGGGAGACCTTCAATTCACGTTGTAGTGGGGGAGGATTTTTTTTTTTCTTTCTTAACCAATCTATGATACGGTAGTTTATCCAGCGAACTTACCAGCAGAGCCGCAATAATGCCAAGACTTGAGACCACATCCCTGCCCACTCTATCATAAAACTTTTTTTCCATTTTCTCCTCCGAAGTTCCCACCCCCCATCCCACTACTACACCTCCACCACCATCAATCCCCCACTAACCCGCAAAAATGGGTCGCATAAAGAAATCAACCCGCAAGTTCGAAGCGAAGCACCTGAAAAAAACACTCGAGGACAGAAAAGCCCATGCAAAGGTAAAACAGCGACACCAACTCGCCGAAAAGCGCAAGAAGAAGCGAGCGGGTGCAAATGACGGCGAAGAGGAAGAAGATGCGGAGGAGAAGGAGGTAAAGAAGGCTAGGAAGAAGGATGGGAACGTGGAGTTGTTTGAGGATATGAGCGTTGAGCAATTCTTCCAGGGCGGATTCGAGGTTCCTGAGACGGAGAAGGAGAAAAAGAAAAAGAAGAAGGAATTGAGGAGGAAGAGGGAGGAGGCCGAGAAGAAGAAGAAGGATAATGATGAGGAGGGAGAAGAGGAGGAGGAGGAAGAAGAGGAGGGAGATGATGAATTGGTAACTCACAAGGCGGATCTAGCTGCTCTTGCGGAAAAAGATCCAGAGTTTTTCAAGTATCTTCAAGAGAACGATTCCGAATTGCTAGATTTTACAGCGGTGGAACGGGATGATCTTTCTGGGATTGATATTCTATCCGAAGGCGAGAGCGAAGACGAAGCACCTAAGAAGAAGAAGAAGAAGTCCCAGAAAGGTGAAGATGAAGAAGCAGTACAGAATGACAATGCTGGCTCGAGTGTAGAAGTTACATTGAAAGATGTGGAGACTTGGAAGAAGGCGCTTGTGGGGGGAAAGAGTCTACGGAGTCTTAAGAAGGTGGTTTTAGCTTTTAGAGCCGCGGCACACGTCAATGATGTGGATGATAATAATGGGTATAAGTACTCTATTACCGATGCTAATGGTGGGTTGTGATTCCTTCGTTTAGTTTTATACGATGCTAATTGAAGTAGTTTATCATGAACTCTTGGTTTTGGCACTGAAACATGTTCCTGATGTGCTCAACCATCATCTACCGGTGAAGGAGGGCGTTTCGGGGAAGATGTAAGTATATGATTTGTGCTTCGAGATGAGCTTGGCTAATCGTACTACAGTCGTATTTCCAGCGACACCAAGAAATATCGCTCAATGAGCCCACTACTCAAATCTCACTCGGCATCCCTTCTTCACCTCCTCCCTACACTCACCGACGCACCGACCCAAAAGTTGCTCCTAAACTCCACTATCCCTCTAGTCCCATACTTCCTATCCTTCCGCAAGTTTCTCAAGGCGTATATCAAGGCTGTCGTCGACATCTGGGCCGCAAACAGCTCCGATGAGTCTGCGAGAATCACAGCTTTCTTAGTTATTCGAAGAGCAGCAGTGATTGGAGATTATGGGTTGAAGGAGATGTGTCTCAAGGCGCTATACGCCGGATTCGTCCGTGCCAGTAGACAGACGAGTGGATATACCATGCAGGGAATCAACCTGATGAAGAACTCCGCCGGTGAAGTGCTGGGGCTGGAGGGCATGGACAAAGTTGGGTATTCTGCCGGGTTTGGATATATCAGACAATTAGCGGTACATCTGAGAAACAGTATTACCAATAACTCCAAGGTTTGTAGACATATCTCACCGACCACTTATTGCCATCTACTAACCCACGAAAACCACAGGACTCCTATAAAACCGTGTACAACTGGCAATACGTCCACTCCCTGGACTTCTGGTCCCGTGTCCTCTCAACCCACTGCGAGGGGCTGAAAGAAGCCGAAGCCGGCAAGGAGTCACCCTTACGCCCACTAATCTACCCACTAATCCAAGTAACCCTGGGCGCAATCAAGCTCATCCCAACAGCGCAATACTTCCCCCTACGCTTTTACCTCCTCCGCTCCCTGCTACGCCTCTCACGAGCAACAGGGGTCTTCATCCCGCTAGCCTCCCACCTCTTCGAAGTCCTCTCCTCCACAATCTTCAAAAAGAAGCCCAAACCCTCAACCCTCCGACCCCTGGATTTCAGCACAACCATCCGCGCGCCAAAATCCTACCTGTCAACAAAAGCTTACCAAGACGGCGTCGGCGAGCAAGTCACAGAACTCCTCTCGGAATTCTTCCTCCTGCACGCCAAATCAATCGCATTCCCAGAATTGGCCATTCCAGCAATCGTGCATGCCAAGCGATGGATTAAAAAGTCGCCTGCCGTCACGTTGAATAATGCCCTCAATGTTCTTGTGGGAAAATTGGAGGCGAATGCGAAGTGGGTGCAGGATAGGAGGAATAAAGTCGAGTTCGCGCCCGATAAGATCTCCCTCGCGGAGAAGTTCCTTGACGACGTTTTGTGGGAGAAGACCCCGCTGGGTGTATACGTGCTCTCGCAGCGGAAGGTAAGGGAGGAGAAGAGGAAGATGGTTGAGGAGAGTCTTAGGCAGGAGAAGGCTAAGAGGAGAGGTGGTGGCGGTGATGACGAGGATGATGAGAGCGGGAATGAAGAAGGGCATCTTTCAGTTGAAGAGGAGTCTGAAGATGAGGAGATGGAGGATGAAGCCGACTCAGACGGTTCAGACGATGCCTGAGCAGTGCCTTTTTAATTTGTCATGTTTCCAAAAAAAGTTTGTAGTCACTTTTGTAAAATAAATATCTGTGCTAATAGTGTCCAGCCGTCAAGGCAATTTTTGATAAAACTCTATCCTGTACTCACTGTGATTTTGCTAGCAGTGGAACGATTACTTACCTCTCCTCCCCACCCCCAACGCACTACAACCACCGCCTTCCATCAAAAACCTAAAAACCAAAACCCAATTCCTGAGCCGATCCAAAAAAAACACGGAAATCGCACTCTCAAGTGCTCTGAAACGGATTTGAACCGTTGATCTCGTCATTACTAGTGACGCGCCTTACCAACTTGGCCATCAGAGCAGATATGTACTCTTTCCGCTTTCCGCTAATCTCATTCAACCATCCCAATCCGTCCAATCAAGCAATCCCTTACCTTGTGGCCGAAATTCATGGCTGCGTAGCACTGTCGGTTCACGGTTGACATGATATGTTTTTCCGGTGCCACATGACTACAAAAATGAAAAAATGAAAATATTCTCAAGAGTACTTGAGTAGTCAGCCTCCGAGGCCACCCAAATGCCCCCTTCACTTAGACAGCTAAACCCAAATAAGAAACTTTCCATATAAATGAGACATCACAGGAAATATTCTGCAGAGTAGGGTAAACTAAATTACATCTCATGCCAGTACATATGACAAAATTCTTTACAAAGAGGAACAAAGGCACCACCATAAACACAATATGAATAGGTAAAACATGTTTGCTGTACTCTACCTTGAGGTCCATTTGGATGATGAAGAAATAAATGAGCATAGCTACTTGCAGGGTCCTTTTTAGCCTGCTATTTGAGGAATTGACAAAATATACAGTGTTGATATTAAGTATATATAAAACAGTATGGTTGTAGATCTTTACAGTATTCTGGAAGTCTGAGATTTTATCCAATATATCTTTTAGAGTGAGAGATGCTGGTATTTCCCACCAGTTTAGTACCTTTAGCAAAAGCTCCATGGGTAGCATGAATTTGGTGCTCTAGGTTCTATCATTGGCATTGAGTTACTGAGGAAAGAACAGGAGTTGCAATATTAATATGAAAGTCAGGATTTAAGACTTGTTCACTATCCTTAACAAGACCCCAGCATGAGTCTTCCATGAATTTCTGTTGATTTGCTTAAATAGTATTCTTCTTTCTACCAATCTATTGTTTCACAATCAGGAAAGAATTAATGACTGTAGTATCTAAAAGCCAAAAAAAATAAAGGCATCCAGGTATCAATACAGTGTAGTTGTGTACTAAAATAACTTTGTCTTTGGTCAGAAATATTAATGCTACCCATAAACAGATTGTAATCAACAGAGTTAATGGGTAATAGTAGTACATTGATTGGTTGCTTACTCCAAACAATATCAATCATTGCCTGAAATGGTGCCTCAGTATTTTTTCTAATATATATTCACTTATGAGATTGATTGACTGTATTTTGATGTCACATATCATAGGTGATTGTAAGAAATCATATAAGAGTTTTGTCTTGCTAAATTACGGCAAGAATCTTTCCAATAACTACACCAGCAAAAGTACCCTATAGTAGTGGAGCTCACTTTTTCTTATTCTTAAGAGGTCTTGGATATAAGGCTGAGTTAGGCCTTACAGTTCCAAAAGTGGCAATTTTGAACTGCCTCAATGCTTCAAATAATGAGACATTTGAAAAGTAGTTATTATGGAATAAAATAAAATAATGAGTAAGGGGCTGTAGTTGAGTATATAAACTAAACACAACTCATGAGGTTAGATTGAGATTAAACTATGTAGGAACAGATATATCTATGCTCAATAATCTACTAACTTGAGAGGTGGAAAAGAAAAAAATGTTGGTATAACCATGCTTAGTGAGAGCTAGTATCTTATACCCCTCTGTGATTAGCTTATTTGGTATCATTACTGTATCAATGGATCTAAATTCTACTTAGTATAAGAAAATCTTGTATATTAAGAGGTGAGACCTACCTTCCAGTAAACTGTATCATTATTTCATCTACAGAAAATTGAGTAGCTATTGTACAGTATCTTTGCCAAGTCTCTTGTAACATATGAGTAAGAGGATTTAACTTACTATAAAACCATTGACTATAAGATGTAGGAGAATTGAAGTAAGTAGTTGAAGTGGTAGTAGAAGTAGGGCAGAAACGTGAAGCCATCTCTTCAAATTCTCAAACTGGGGTTTTCCCATATATCTAGTTATTGTATGAATAGGAGCTCATTCATCTTGGTACCAGTAATCTTGAATACAAGTAGACTTAAATAAACCCATATAAATTATTATCCCAAAAAAAACTTTCAGTTCAGCTGCTGAGGTATCCTTCCAAAACTGTGCTTGTCCTATCTGTCTATTACTCTGTTTAGACTGTGCATACATATTGGTATTTCTTGCCAGTATTTCAAAAATCTGTTTGGTAAAGAATAATATAAAGAAAGCTAAAGGAGTTGAAAAAGTTGAGGGATCATTGGGTAAATAATCATAGGATGATGGCAGGTGGAGGGTACGATCATGTTGTAGCTATTCATACTCAAAATATTCAAACTTGAGTACAGGTAGTATATTACTCCCATCACTTTGAGGGTCATTTCCTAAGTCCTCCTCCAATTCCTCTCCATCATCCTCACTTTGCTCATCCTGGAACAGATCAATCTCCCTCTCTTGCTGGCCTCCTTGATACTTATGTTCATCTTCAGAGTACTCAACCTCTTTTAGCTATTGTTGATTTCTGGGCTCTTCCTCTTCTCTTGGTCTGACAGCTAAGACAAATGACATTTTGCAGGCCTAGATTTAGAACAGCTATGGCTGACTAGAACTGTGAGATGTTTCCAGTAAATCTAAACTCAAGTCAACTAGATGGAAACTACAAAAGCTTCTACTAGAATCACATATATATAATAGATTCCAGCCATGATCTCAAGTGATTAGTCTTATAATCAGGGTCAGAGGAAGTACTAAGCAATTTTTCAAGTATTTAGACTGGTAAAAGGTAGGCAATCTGATTATCATATAACCAATTTATTAGCTGGGATGAATTCTTAGGTAAAACCAAAACCTACTCCTTGAGTCAAGTAACCCAGGCTCACATTCTAATTACTTTAAAAATAGGTGAGTACCAGCAGTCACACAGTTTGAGCAAATCTAAAACTATATTAGTTAAATAATAACTTTAAAAGTTAAAGCTATAAAAGTAACTTGTAATCTTCTGGAAGTTGAATGCCCTGATATGGCTGTAACACTCCTCCCATCATAGGGTAAGAAGATGAAGGAGCATAACCATAGTCCTTGGGTATCAGGGGTTATCCATGAACTCTTCCAATAACTGGCTTTAACTTATATACAACTGGACCTTCGATTTGTGAAAGAGAAGAAATTCTGTCAATAGTTTGGGAATTTTTTTTTGTTTCAAGATTTATCTGTGATGGCTTGACTAATATAGTAGTGTTCACAGACTAACTCTAGTATTTAGTACTCTCAGTTGTCCTATCAGATGACGATGGCTGTCAGACAGTGCTAGTCCTCATCCTGGATGGGACGATGTTAAGTCAGTCTGGATGACAAAGATAAGGACCAACATCATCCAATACCCATCGATGCCCATCAGACAACAAATTGAACCCTACCATTTTCTCCCTACTCTTACACCCCTTTAGGCTCACCTCATTTTTTTCTCCCCAACTTCATTCCACTCCTACACTCAAACATTGCTCTCACTTTGACTAATATCAACAATATCTTTTCTCTGCACTCCCTTCATATTTCTTCATCCTTTCTTCACATCTTCTTCATATTCTCTCTTACTTGCTTTCACTCCTTTCCACCTCCTTTCTCCACCACTGTTTTTTTTTTCCAAAACCTTTTTTTCTCTTTACCAATTCCTTCTTCCTTTGAATTCCTTTCTGATTATTTTAGTTACTACCTGTTTTGATTTTGTTGAACTTTGTTTTGGACAAGACAAGGCTAGGTTTGATAATATGAAAGAAAATTAAGATGAATGGGTCCAGTAAGAAGAGAGAAATGCAAGTGAGGAGTGATGGGCTAAGTCCAGAACAGAAAAAAAAAAGGAATAACAAATAAAGTAATTACCTGAAGATGACTGACCTCTATAATGAGGATACCAATGAGGATTATAAGCCATTTACCTTCACAAAGAAAGGGCTTAAAAACATTCAGAAAAATACACAGAGGCATCCTAATTCTATATTTACAAACATTACTATCCCTACTTTCAATCTACATGATACAATGGTAGCAGCAAGAAAAATTCAACCTCTAGAGATCAAGGTTGAGGGATTTGAAAAGGAGAATGAAGGAAAACTCCAGTTGATTGATGACCTTAATGTCATTATTCAAGATAACTCTGATGATAGTTAAGTTAATTCATTCAAGTATATTTAATCATCAAGATTGATACTAATATAAGTAGTAACTTGGTTAATGGAGAGATTCTTGTAATCAAGATTGGGACATTAATGAAAGCAAGCCCAACTGAAGAAGAAACTACTATTTCAGTAGAACTTCTTAAGTCACTCAAAACTGGACTATCCAACTTTTTGGCAACAGACCCTTTGACCAGTAATGATGATAACTGACATAAGAGCCATATACTAAAGAAAAATAGTTTGCATCCAGAAATTGTAAGAGATAGTGGACTAATGATACCGGTACCAGAAACAAATAGTCAATGCATCAATATTCATATGTACTATACTGCGAGGAATGATAATTCTATCAATAATATTGAGTTAAACTATGGACTGAAAGGATTGTGGGAAATAACAAGAGTAAAGTCTGCTGACCTCAAGAACTACCTCTGATCAATCTACCCATTAACACAATTGACTGAATGTGTTAAGGGGTAGCTCAACCATAGATAGTGCTGGTTAGTCTAAACTGTATGCTTCTTGAAGTAAAGTAAGATAAAACAAGGTAAAGATGAAGATCATCAAGGTAGGTTTGATCTTTCTAAAGGCTTGGAAGAATATGTGTGTGGTAAATCTTTCAAGAGTAGATAATAAATATATTGATAAGATCTCTTCTCTGTTACTTGATCTTTCTAATAGCTGGGAGTATCTCAATATTTATATTCTGCATCTGGGTTATTGTAGACTACAACTAACTCCCATACTATCTAAGTACCTCTGTTGAAAATCTCTGATTTTTCCTCAGTGTGAACACTCTTGACCCTGAGAATATTTGCTCTGCTCAGCTTTGATCTTCAACCAAGTTTACCCAGGAAATTGTTAGCAGGTACTTGGGTATTGAATAAGAATGAGAGGCAGCATGGAACATGAAGAAAATCTGATACAATAATGACATTG